AAAAAATTATTTTATGTGCTGGAATTTGCAGAAAAAAGGTTTAAATATTAAACAAATTTCTTCCAGTCAAAGAATGTTGCATATAATTAAATTTTTGCTTGATGCATAAAGTTAAAAGCTTAAAACTAATACTAATCACCTATTCAGGTAGTAAATGTGTTTTTAAAAAGTAACTAAGTAATTAATTACTTTTGAAAATAAGTAATCAGTAAAGTAACTGGATTACACTTTTGTGGAAGTAATCAGTAATTAGTTACTGATTACTTTTTTCAAGTAACTTGACCAACACTGGTTGTAGTAGTTTGCATCATATTCAACAAAATCTGCTAGTTACATCTGAGGACTTGTAACATTCGCTGATGAGTATGGCATTGGACAGGTGACTATCTGACTATCATAAAAAACCTTCCCTTCATATATACTGGGTAAATGCTAGACTTTAGAGACTTTAGAGATTTAAAATGTGGCTGTTATTTACTGTCATAATTTCAATAAAGCAGTACAGGTGTATTTAGTTTTTCACAGGACTGCCTAGATTACTCTGAGTGAAAACTTTCACATGCCTGTAATTGCTGTAGCTAGCTAAACCTCAAAACCAGCAGCTAATGGTTAAGAAAGTAGTTCTAAAAGTAACTGGCAGGTTTTACATAATAATGCTTTTACATGATCTCCTCTTATTTGACCTTTAAAGATATGATGGCATTTTGTCATAAGAGTCAAAGGAGTAGGATGAAGTTTACACTTATCTGATCCTATCCTATATTTACGCTGCAGTCACACCAAACAATGGTTCCCTATTTCTTTGGTTAAATTATAGATTTACTACAGCTCAGCAGTAAATTAGTCTTCCATTTAATCCCTTTATTTAGTTTTTCTTTTCACATTTTAAATCACTTAACAAAAAGGATGTATAACAAATATCTTTTAAATAGTTAACACTGACTCTGGTTCCTGTTCATTTCAGCCCAGTTTGCCCCTTTAACTTACACCAAGTAGGCTCAGTTTCTTCTCCGCTCCTTTTAAAACAACCTGTTGAGAAGAAGGGATTTGTGTAAAATATATACATATAAATGGCAATTCTCTAGAAAAAGTGCACATCAGTGTAACTGGATTACAATTTGGCACTTGTCATATTGGTCACAATATCAATATATTACCTCGTTGTAGCCGTACTGCCCTCTAGCACCTCGTCGCCTCAGTCTGTGACGCACAAATAAGAAACATATTATTATTTAGATGCATGAAAGCTCTAAACTATGTCTGATGCTTCCATATCTGTCTTCACCATTACAAGTCTTGTCATGCTGTAGGAATCAGCTGGGATAGTACTTTGAGCAGGTCTGGAATTCACACACCGTGAAATTCGTGTATCAGCCTGTCCATCCACTCTTGTACTGAGCAGAACTGCAACTCTGTCAGGAATGTGCGCTTGTAGGAAAAAAATCTGGCTGAAATTCAGTTGTACTGCACTGATCACAAGCTGTGTAAAGCATAAATAGATTATCATTATTTTGGGTTTGGGGAACAAGCAAATAGCTAGTTCACCAATCCCTTACTAAATTTGAAGGATAAGTAAAAGCACCTTTGTCTCCAAAGGTGTATCTTCGCTACACCTTTGCTAGCAAAACCACAATATGACTGATGAAACATGACTTCATCAATCCATTTAGACGGACTTTTTCCAGGAATGCTAGCGCTTGAAAGCAGCACCCTGTCCTAACCCTGTTCTGTCAGCACTTCATTTTGTCAAACAACAATGTTCCATGTTTTTCCACATAATGCAATGACAGCGGAAAATACTATCTCCTAATGTTCAGAGTCAGCCATTAAGATCTGCTCATGTGAACCCACCCCATGATATAATTTAGCTTGTTTCAGCTGGACTGATAGTTTCATGTGACTCATTTCAACTCCCATACGAATGCCAAATGATAAAAGATGATACGAAGAAGTGAGTCTGGCTGTGGATGAAACACAGTTACAAGAAACTGAGAAACAACATGTTTTGTTTTGTAACACACTCCAATATAGGTGAAAAAAAATAAATAAATAAAAATCCTGTGCAAGTGAATGGAGGATTAAATATGTCTTGGAACTATTTTTGACTCTTTTGTTATTTGTATTTGTAAGTTAGGTGTACAATTCTGTCTACTTAACAACAGATTTTATGATGTTTATTAAAAGAGAAAGACCCATTTACTATTTGGAATTAGACACCAATTGCACTGAGAGTCTGTCAGACTTAGAATGAATAAATGCACATGACTAAATGGTGACTAGTTCATAGAAACACACAAATATAAGAGTTTTGTAGAGCTATCTGATGCAGGAGCTCTAAAGCTGTACTGCCTTTTGTCCTGTACCTGAACAGGTAGCAGCAGAAGATGAGGCTGAGCATGAGGATGAAGAGGCCGATGCCCAGGATGATTATGTAGACGTTGAGCGGCAGTTCGTGCAATGTTTCTGATGTCATCTTGCAGTAAGGATCAGAGTTCTGCAGTCCGAGGTTACATAGACACCCTAAGAGAATAGGATACACACAGAGGAAAAAGACTGCACCCAGTGTATAAACTGCCTCAACCTGTATTAAAACAGCTAGAGCAACACAGTTTGGCTCACAAGAAAACGACTTCCGTAACTACTTGCACGTTAGTGTAAACCAGTCCCACCACAATAGCTTATCACAGCTGATTTTTTTATACTAAGGAAATTTGCTTTAATGACATAATAAACATTTTAGTCATTCAGATTTATGAAAAGGTATTTTGAGCTATATAATAAATACCTATAGCAGCAATCATTTATGAATGGTTTCAAATTAAAATACAGTTAATTATTAAACTGGATCATTTTATAATGTCAGTGTATAATATTTCCATAATACGTTGGTAGTGGCCTGTATGTAAGGCTCACTGTTCATATATCTTGACACAAAGAACAAGCCACTCATGAATATACTGTTGGTGATAATGCAAATACGGATTCATGGTTTCTCATGCCTGGTTGTATGGCAACACAATAAACAAAGCTATTAGTCAGCCAATTCAGCTGTGGAAATAAAATGCCAACAGAAATCATTAGGAAAGAAAGAAAGCATGCTTGCTTTTTCTGCACAGAATATTTATGACCTAAATAGTTTGCAAAATTCATAAAGATGTGGGCAAGCTTCTATTTAATTTTATTCTGAACAATTTATGTCCTTTGTCTGTAGTTCTGAAATGACCCTAATAGCCCAATATTTGCACAAAAGGAAAGGAAAAGCTAATATACAAGATAGTTTTTATTTTTTTAAACAATTTTTTGCAATGCTTCATAACTATACTGTTTTACAGGTTCTTTTTGTTCTCTTCAGACTTGTCACTAGAAAACTCTGATGAACCAGATGTACCCTACTTGCCCGGCATCAAGTGGCAGATAAATTTATACCTTTGCTAGGAAGCTAATGCCCATCTACCTAGCTATTATCTTCATATCTAAACGTTGCCATTAGCTACTTAGCTAAAGGCTATGTAGCCATTAGCTTGACCAGAGTAGTAGCTAAGAGCTAAGGACTTTTCAACGTGTAACATTTAGCAGCTACAACCAGAACTTTCCTCGGCAGTTGGTGGACAACAAGCAGCCTAGAGTTGTTATCAGTTGTTAATGTTGGCTGCATTAGCAAACATTTTAGCCTTTAAAATCAGGCTGTTAAACTTGTTTCAAAAAATATACGAGTCTGGACTTCCCATGTGTGTCGCGTTGCTATTTTAGATCAAGGGAATGAAGGTCAACAACATAAGTTTAACACCTGTGTGTATAAACACATTTTTATGTGAGTATTAGACCACCCAGCTCCACCAGAGGTTTGCCTGTGGTGTATATTCCACACAGGACACTGTAGCAAACATTTCCCATCATACATCACCCTGTCTGGCAATCCTACACTTCATCTCCTTCCACCCTCCACAGCGGATGTAGGGTTGGGTTTTAGGGGGTGCACTCTTGTGTCTGTGCAGTCTGTAAAGCCTGGCACACAAGCTGCATCTGTGAAGCCTCTTGTTTCAAATTGCAAACTGCTTACCCTGTTAGCATTCTTGGGCTTCCCAGAGTGTTTGAATTCAGGTGAAAGTTGTGGGAAAGTATTGTGGGATTTTGGGGTCAGATTTTTGTTTCTGGTGATGTTTGCTATCCTCATGATGAAGACGGAGAAAACAAGCAGCTTTCCACACCCTAAAATAGACCGACTTTAATATGAACTTTTATATCTGTCCTTGCATCACAAAGGAATGTGTTCTACTTGCTTTTTGGCCCAACACCCCTTAGTTTAGCTTGGGGAGAAACAAGTTCTTAGCCTGAGGGGTTTGAGCAAGGCACTTTTCATTCCATGCAACAACGTCAGGTTTAAACCACAGTAATTAATGTTTTCCCAAGACTAAAGTGCAGGAAGTTCAGCTACAGTGGAGGAAGTCTGGTTCAGAAGTCACTCTCTAATGGACAAGGGTCACTGCAGCAGGTGACAGTCTCAGGGGGTTTTAGGAGTAGGGTTAAGGAGGGCGTCTGGACGAAGGAGGTAATCTTAGCACGATGCTAGTAAATCATTGATAGTGGAGCACTAAAGGCTAGGCTACTGTGCACATGCATTAGTTGGGGATAGGATTATATCATTGTTAAACATGACTAGTTTTATTTTTGATGTGTTTTAGATGGAAAATTTGTAGAAATGTGTAGCATAAAAATCTTTAAGATGATTAAGTAGGAACAACTTTTTTGCAGTCATTTTTTTTTAAATTAATAAAATACTAAAACATGTTGTGGCCTAGTTGTTACTGTTGTCATAACTTCATGACATCAGGATAGGGTTGGGTCAGCTCTTCACTAATCTAGTGACTGTGGAAAGTCCTTCCTGACCTCTTAGTAACAATTATATATAAACATGTCTTACCTACAAACAGCTTAATAATGTATAAATCAGTTGTTAGAAAACACCAGTAGCATTATCCAGTCAAAATCAGTTAACTATGTATAAGGAAATCGTGGTGGAATAGCTTAATATAACTCTTTTAGGAGGGCAAACTGGCTCCAGGTCACTTACCGTTACACCAGTGGACAGGATGCATCAAATGTTCATATAGAAATGTTCATATAGCAAACCCAGTAAGCCGTTCCAGTATCACAAACTATGATTTGCACAACTTTTCTGGGATTGTTTCCAGCACTGAAAATGATGTCCGCCTCCAGGTTCCTCTTATACCTGTGTTAAATCCTTGTGGTCTATAGTCAGTACACCTGATCAGAGACGCCTAGGACCTTGAACACAATGTTTCAGTCTGCTGTGATGATTTTACCCCATGAATGTCATAAAAACATCCACTTATGTGAGATTTTGCCTCCCAGACGGCTGCGAATGTATCAGAGGTAGAAACTAAAGTGCTCCTTTGTGCATTCCCCACAAATGACAAAGAATCCGACGTGGAGTTGTGCTGATGAGAAGACACCAATGTCACTGACAAGACAAGGAAATGTATTCCAAATCCCATACAGCACTTTTGTTATGAGCCTCTGGCTTTGTTTCCCCTTTCGAAACACTGTGACAAGGCTGTCCTTCCCTTCCTCTTCTTCTGTTCTCTTTTCCCTTTCTTCTCACTCCTCTGTCCGCTCCTTTTAGATCTCCACGCTGCTTTCGTCCTCTCTGGCTGTGAAAACCTGCCGTTGCCAATTATGGAGAGACAAAGGGAGGGACGTGGATGGGTTCTCCCGGCAGCACAGCCAGCCAAGCAGGCAGGCAGCCTCTCAGTGTTCCCGTGGAAAGCAGCAACTCATCTCTTCCCCCGGCTTCCTGCTGTGAACACAGAACACGGGGAGGTATGTCAACGCAGGAAGACAATGCAGCCAATGTTAACTCAGACCTAGGGTCTCTTCTCTCCGCCTGTGGTTTCTTTTTTTTCTCTTTTCTTCTCACATTCACTCTCCTTCCTCGTCTCTCTTCCCCACGTTCTCTGTCTAAAGGTCTCAGTTTGTAAACAGATCCCTGCTCATGTGATTTGCTGTCTGCATCATAGCTCTGCTTTCACCGCCCCCTCCTTCCTCCCTCCTTCCCAGCTCGCCTGCGTGCCCTCCTTTTACCCCTCTGGGTTTTCCTTCCACCCACTCTCTCCCCCACCCCATCCCCACCTTCCTATGCAGCTGCAAGCTATTATTGAAGTAGCTGCAGAGCAGATGGCAGACAGGCAGATGAGGGGAAAGTCAGCTATATGACAGTTGAAAGATAGTTTGATTAATTAGATGCAGTGTTTTCCACTGATAAACAGCAACTCGCTTTGTTTATGCAAAACTCGTAACCCAAACCAAAGGGGAATTTTGAATCCCTCAAAACTTCCATAAGCTAACTTCCAACTGAACTAAAAATGTAACTGCCTCTGGGCCCCTTGCCCATGTATAAAAATAGCTTCAATAAGCTCAATAATCGTAAAGATAAGTGTCAATTGCAGGCGATAAGACAGGAAGAGAGATGTTAGCAGATAGCTAATCATGATAGGTAAACATGGAAGGAATATGACACAGAAAGACAGAAGGTTCAGTACAGCTGTTATTGACAGACAGATGGATGGGTGTGTCACTGTGTTTGCTGGTTGTTGCTTTCACCTTTCCAGTGCTTTCACCTGTACAAATGAACCAAGCCAAAAGTAAACAGTCCAGATAAACCACTGTAAATGCAGTCTGAGGTTATGGGCCAGGAAAAAAAAGAAAAAAATGTAGAGCTCTGCTAAGTGAGGATTAACGGGTTCAATGAGTTTCTACCCTCAGACCTGCTTTTATAGAAGAAAAATTACAACCCGCCTTATGACTTCAGCTTTCGGCCAGTACATACTTTTGCTCAGGAGCGAATAATAAATGTTTCATCTCACGAAGAATCACATTAAAAAGAAAAAAGTTATTTAAGTAGCTATAAAAAAACAAAAAGCTGGTTATGGAACTTCTGTGATTTCTTAACGGTACAGCGTGTAAAATCTAACCACTAGATGTCAGTACATGGCAGATTACGGTTAACTGAATGCTTTTTTCTTACTCCTCCCAATTTAAGTGCATAATCCTGTCTATGGTGGCCACTGTAGGACAAACAACTCGGCCAACAGTACAAATGTAGCAAGTGTTTGCTGTCAGTTAGCTGTTTATACCAGCGGTCCCCAACCCCCGGGCCTCGGACTGGTACCGGTCTGTGAGTCGTTTGGTACCGGGCCGCGAGAGTTGAGGCTCAGGTGTGAAATGTATAGTTTTCAGGGTTTTTATCGGTTTTCA